GCCACCTTAGGTGTACGTGGCTGGTGCCTTAGCTGGTTGAGCCACAGGTGCCGAGCCATTTTTAATAACCATATAGCTATGCAACTAACAGTTACATTCTAAACTTCAAGTAATTATAATAACTTTTCTTTATTTCATTGGAAAACACTCAACTGTAATATTAAACAGAATGTAATATCTCAAAACTATAGGGCAGCGGTTCTCAACCTGTGGGTCGTGACCCACAGGAACTGTATTAAAGGGCGTGGCATTAGGAAGATTGAGAACCACTGCTCTAGAGAGAAAAAGATAGATAACCTTAGCTTTATTTTTTTTTCTTTGAAACAGAGCCTTAAGCTATCCCCCTGGGTAGAGTGCCATGGCATCACAGCTCTCAGCAACCTCCAACTCCTGGGCTCAAGCAAGTCTCCTGCCTCAGCCTCCCAAGTAGCTTGGGACCACAGTCGCCCGCCACAACGCTCGGCTATTTTTTGGTTGCAGCCATCATTGTTGTTTTGGCTGGCTGGGCTGGATTCAAACCGGCCACCTTAGGTGTATGTGACTGGCACCTTAGCCACTTGAGCCACAGGAGCCGAGCCATAACCTTACCTTTAATGCTGCCACTTTATAGTTATATAACCTATTTAAATCTTGTCATTTCTGGGACTGTTTCTCCTATACAAAATGAAGTTAATATCAGCACTAGTCTGAAAGATTTGCATGGAATATTTATAAAAATACTTTTAAAAACAGTGTTTTTCAGGATTTTTGGATTACAACCCAGGTATGAATATATATATCTGGAGCAATCATACATACACATATCATATATAGATAATTACAATACAAAACTTACTGTTATTTGTGATTCACATTGATATTATCTATTCTATTTTACCGAAAAGTAAACCTTTAGTAGTGACCCATTTATGAGTTGTATTTTATAGTTTAAAACAGTGGTTCTCAACCTTACTAATGCCACGACCCTTTTATACAGTTTCTCACTTTGTGGTGACTCCCAACCATAAAATTATTTTTGCTCCCAACCATAAAAGTAATTTTGCTACTGTTATGAATCGTAATATAAATATCTGATATGCAGAAGACCCACAGGTTGAGAACCACTGGTTTAAAATATATTGTCAACTGAGCACAATGGATCATACCTATAATCCCATCACATTTGGAGACCAAAGTGGGAGGATAGCTTGAAGCCAAGAGTTTGAGACCAGCCTGGGCAATATAGCAAGACTCCAATCTCTACAAAAATAGAAAAATTAGCTGGTGTCCTGTACCTATAGTAGTCTTCAGCTACTCTGAAGGCTAAAGGAAGATCACTTGAGCCCAGGAGGTTGAGGTTTCAGCAAGCTACATTAGTGCCACTGCACACTAGCCTGGGTAACAGAGTAAGACCCTGTCTCAAAAAAATAAAATATATTGTTTATATAAAGAAAACCATATATTGGGTACCATTATTAATAAAAGATAGTAGTACTTAGATTACGTACAGTTAGTTCTCTTATCACATTTAATTTCAAAACAGTTTTAGTATGGTTAAATATACCTTCATTAATAATTTATACAAGATTATATTGCTAAATTTTTAGTTACAACCTTTTCTCTAGTAAGTCAGTCAGGAATAGCTTATAAATAATTAGAAGAGATGCCTCTAAGTTTATTTTCTAAATGATGAAATTCAAGTTGTTTTTTATGCTAAGGATTATGATTTTGAGGCATGGTTAAGTCCTGGAACTAATAAATGTTTTGCATTCTTATTTTTTAATTAGATAGTATTTCTTAAAACTGAAAATTTTCTAGGTTTTTTTTTACATCACTTAACATTTGTAATTAGTAAGACAGATACTATCAAAGTTAAAGATTTAATTTACTACTACTATCAAAGTTTCATTTGGTTTATTAAAGTAATAAATGGCAAAGGGGAGTTAAGTCCACTATTAATACCATTTAATACCATGGTACTAACCATAAGAAGTTTTAATCTGTCCTACATTTTATACAGACATGTGCCGTGCAAAAAAATGTAGCATTTTCCACAGAAGGCATCCAGGCTTTCCTAATCACTAAGAAAGTGACTGGGAACTGATGTTCCCTAGTGATCTTTCATAGGTTCTGCTGCACCAAAAAACTCATTACTATTAAAAACCTGCCGTCATATCACATTATCCTTCTCAACAAACTCTTCGTTAGAATGACAGTTCTCTTTGCAGTTGAGGCCTCCCTGCCTTCCCTCTCTTAAATTTAATCTCTATTTCCAGAGTTAGTAAGTTTAGAAACATGAAAAAACTCACATAATTGGTAGTAGCATGAAAGATAGCATATATTTTGTAAATTTATGTTTCTTCAATTTTTTTCTGAGCATGTAAGCATGATTAAAATGTTCATGTATTTTCTTTATGTAGACTCCAAACCTTTCCAACTTGTAGGAAATCTATTGATGTGTAATACAGTGGAAAGAATTATGTGCTCTAATGTGCAAATAATCTACTGGAGGACTTTGGATATTAAACTGTTTTCTTAATGTGTTTTCCATATGTCTGTGACCTTTTGAAATCATTTCTCTCTCTCACACACACATACTTAATTTTTTTTAATTTCAGATTAATATGAGGGTACAAAAGATTAGGTTACATTGTGTGTTTGTTAGGTAAAGTCCAAGTTGTAGTTGAGCCCTTCACCCAGAAAATGTGCCACATACCCTTACGTTGTGCCCATTAGGTGAGAACACACCAATCTCCTTCTATGTTCCCTCCCCCACCACTTGAATTTAATTGTGTTTTCTTTCTTGCGGGCATGTAGTTGTTCATCTTCTGATTTCATATTAGTATTGAGTATATTGGATACTTGCTTTCTCATTCTTCAGGTACTTTACTTAAGAGAATGTTCTTTGGTTCCATCCAGGTTAATACAAAAGATGTTAAGTCTTTTTGTGGCTAAATGGTATTCCATGGTATACACATACCACAGTTTATTAATCCATTCATGGGTTGATAGGCACATGGGTTGATTCCACATGTTGGCTGTTATGAATTAAGCTGTAATAAACATTCTAGTATAGACAAATGTTCTTATGGTAATCACCTAACCCCAGTGAGAGTAGCCCACATTACAAAGTCCCAGAGCTGCAGATGCTGGTGTGGATGTGGAAAGAAGGTCATTTTTACACTATTGATGGGATTGTAAACTAATACAGCCTCTTTGTAAAGAAGTATGAGGAACACTTAAAGAGCTAAAAGTAAGACCTTCCATTTGATCCTACAGTCCCATTCCTAGGTATCTACCCAGAAGAAAAAAATCTTTTACCACACATTTAATTTTAATGCTTCTAGATTGGCTGAGTTGAGCAATAGAAATTAATGAATTAGAATATTTAAATTGAATAAACGAGAAGAAAATAAACCATCCAGTAAACCATCATTACTATATCAAAAGTAATTTATTAAGGCTCAGTTCCCAAATGGTCATATGCTTTAGTTGGAAAATAATGTGTTAATTGAAATATTATATTAATAAAGTTATAAGCAATATAATTTTCAAATAGAGAATAGTAGAATCTATATAACATAAGTGATGCTGAGCATATTTCTTTTTTTTTTTTTGCCTTTCTCCACATGTTCTCACATGATTTTAATGTTTGTTTGATTCAGGTTATCATTGTTTAGACATACTAGTTAAAAGTATTATACAGACTATATTAGTGCTTTGTAATGTATTTTTAAAAATTCTCCAGTAGTTACTGAATATTGTAATTATATTAGCACCTCTATAGTCCTCTACATGTTATAGTCACATAGCTAAGTTTACTGACTTCAAACAATTTGATACACTTAAGAAAACAAAATTCTGATTGATTCTGATCTATTTCTTTCAGAAAAATCACCACTCATATCATGGATTTTGTAGATCAGATTTCTTTCTTTTGTCTATCATGGTAACAATACAGGAAGCATACTTAATTTCTCATTTCTACAAGTAGTCATGACTGCTGAAGAAAGAAAGTTTTTAAGCTACAGCAGGATTCATTTTGGTACCTTTTATGAAACTCCCGATTTTGTTTTTAATTTTTGATAACTTTTTGCTAAAGGTATGAACAAACAAAGAGTTTATTTTATTAGGCAAGTACACATTAATAAGAATGCCTAGAAGAGGATTGATTCTTCAGACCCGGACCCAGTGGCTGCTGTTGGGCCTCGCTTTGCTCTGCAGTTTGGTATTATTTATGTACCTTTTGGAATGTGCCCCCCAGACTGATGGAAATGCATCTCTTCCTCGTGTTGTTGGGGAGAATTATGGTAAAGAGTATTATCAAGCCCTCCTACAAGAGCAAGAAGAACATTATCAAACCAGGGCAACTAGTCTGAAACGCCAAATTGCCCAACTAAAACAAGAATTGCAAGAAATGAGCGAGAAGATGAGATCATTACAAGAGAGAAAGAATGTAGGGCCTAATGGCATAGGCTACCAAGGCAACAAAGAACAAGCACCTAGTGACCTCTTAGAGTTTCTTCATGCACAAATTGACAAAGCTGAAGTTAGCATAGGAGCCAAATTACCCAGTGAGTATGGGGTCATTCCTTTTGAAAGTTTTACCTTAATGAAAGTCTTTCAGTTGGAAATGGGTCTCACTCGTCATCCTGAAGAAAAGCCAGTTAGAAAAGACAAACGAGATGAATTGGTAGAAGTTATTGAAGCTGGCTTGGAGGTCATTAATAATCCCGATGAAGATGATGAACAGGAAGATGAGGAGGGTCCCCTTGGAGAGAAACTGATATTTAATGAAAATGACTTCGTAGAAGGTAATATGAAAAATATGTTGGCCTTAGTAAGACAAAATGCTGGTATTGTATCCTGGTAATGTGTCAGTGAATAGCCACTGTATTAAATAAAACATTTACATTTTTACCCAGTTTATTCCTCTGAGAATTTTAAATCACTTTCTGGAAAAAGTTCTGAGATCATAATAAAAACAGAGAATAATGACCAAAGAAATAAACTAAATCTCGGCTTCCATGGAATACCTAACTACTAAGGTTGAAGGGCTCTTGCAGGCTATGTATATATTTGCATGTGTGTATTATTTATATTCCTTTCTTATCTGGTCTTGATATTCTTTTTTATGCTTTAAAGCCTCAGAATTTGTAAAGGAAAGTAAAAAAACTGATCTAGTGGGCTAGTAGTTATTTTCCATTTTAGAGAAAGGAGAAGTACATGTTGGAACATCAGCAAGGCATACATGGTTTTAAAAAGCGTATTTGGCATTTGGAAAAATAAGGAAATAGCCTGTTTTTCTAATACTGCAGAAAGGGTATGGGATTTTTATAAGTCAAGATGGGACTTAACTGAAAGGTCAAGGAACACTGCTATAAATTTAAGATATTTGTTGATTGATGTATATATATGTGAATATATATAAACAGGAATAATTATAGATCCCTGCTCACCTCCATCTTAATACTCCCTGCTAGATATTTAATTGCAAACTTAAAACCATTTTGGATATAAATCTTTCTTAAAAATTCTCTTTGTATGATTCTATGAATAGTGGACCACAGAAGGATTTTTTGACTGTGCTATAGTATAATGCATTGAGGCCTTTGGAGGGCATCTAGGAGGGCATTGTGCTTATTGTGGCTTTTTCCTATGGCCTCTCTTTTTTTCTTGCTGCCATTTTTGATGGATTATTTTTTTTTAAACATCTAATTTTTCTGCAAGCTCAGCTTTTTCTCTTCTTACTCTGTTTGTGATTTATGACCGAATTAAAAGCTGCAGAGGAAATAAGATAACTAATGACATGTAAAATGTCCTCATGTCAGCTCTGCCTAAGAAGAAAGGGAGCCATGCCAGTTTGTCTCCAGCTTCTTCTTATCTTATAACTCTCTTTGGATTCTATCACTGTCAGGATTTTTCTCTGCATGGAACATGCTCAGTCCTTCACTTCTCCTTTTCTGTGCCACTGCCCTCCCTCTCCCAAAATAATTACTAACAACTGAGTAATTACTATTCCCCTTCTAGACTTTAGCTAAGTATCACTTCTTCAGAGAAGTCATCTCCAACCCCAGGTATGAGATAACTCTTGTCACTTGTACACCCATAGCACTTGTCATAGTATGTAGTGTTGCCCATTTCCTGGTTTGTAATTCTAGTGAGACTGTAAATCTCAGGTACATTGGGACCAAATCTATCTTGTTCACCATTTTATACCAAATATTGTCTTAGTGACTCATAGATCTGCAGATCTAACCATCTCACTCCTTCACACTTAAAAATCATGTTACCCAGTAGACGTCCATGCTTTTCCCCCAAAGATACCTCAAATCACTGTTTAAATCTATATCAATCCGGTGAAAAAATATGTATGCAAGTGTGTATATAGTTATATAGACAGTGTTTTGTTTTGTTTTGTTTTTTGAGACAGAGACTCAAGCTGTCACCCTGGGTAGAATGCTGTGGCATCACAGCTCACAAAAACCTCCAACTCCTGGGCTCAAGCGAATCTCCTGCCTCCGCCTCCCAAGTAGCTGGGACTGCAGGCACCCACCACAACACCCAGCTATTTTTTTTTGGTTGCAGCTGTCATCGTTTTGTGGCCCGGGCTAGATTCTAACCCACCAGCTTAGGTGTATGTGGCTGGCGCCTTAGCCTCTTGAGCCATAGGCACCAAGCCAACAGTTTTTAATATACATATACACACATATATTTACATGTATTACATAACTATACTGTTATTATTTTTCTGTCTCCCTCACCAGACTGGCCCTTCCTCAAAAATGGCCATATTTAGATCACCAGTGATAGACACGAAGGCACTCAATTTGTTTTTGTTGAGCTGAACTGAAGCTCAACAATAAAGAAATTTTGACTCTTAGGTCCAAGATTTAATGTTGCTAGAAGTAATTTCTTTGTTTGTCATATGATTATTATGTTGATATGCTCTTATATTTAAAAAAGTCATATGTAAAAGGAATAATTGTCATTTGGAGCATATTTTATGGATTGAATAATGTAGCAGACCAGTGAACATTTTTTTTAACCTTTCTTTTTCTTTTAAAGGATAATTGTTACTGTGCAGTGAGAACAAATATTTTCACAAATGGGTATAAACCCTATAGGTCTGGTTTAATACTTTTCATCTTTGAGTAAAATGCATCTTCCCATTAAATTTATAAATGTTGACATGGAAACATCTTTTTTCCTAACTCTTTTCTTTAGGTTATTATCGCACCGAGAGAGATAAGGGCACACAGTATGAACTCTTTTTTAAGAAAACAGACCTTATGGAATATAGACATGTGACCCTCTTCCGCCCTTTTGGACCTCTCATGAAAGTGAAGAGTGAGATGATTGACATTACTAGATCAATTATTAATATCATTGTACCACTTGCTGAAAGAACTGAAGCATTTGCACAGTTTATGCATAACTTCAGGTAATTGTCAGAGCTTAATGATTTGACTGCATTCTCTTAAAAAATAACAATTCATGTACATTTAGTTAATTTATCTTCACTGAGTATAATTACTTAGGATTTCAGAATAATTTTATAGGCTTTAGGGAACTTTATTTTTTGATATTCCTTTTAAGCATGCGTAGCATATTGTGTTATTGACAATTTGAACTATGAAATAAATTGAGAATTACAACTATTAGAAACTAAATTTGATTGCCTTTATATTTTGTGTGAATTCATTTTAGGACAGGTTGAATTCTTAAAATTCACCTGCGTTGAGGCATAATTTACATATAATAATACTTTTTAAGGATATAGGTTTCATGACTTTTGACAAATGTATGCACTCTCAAACCACCACCTGTATTGAGATATAAAACATTGCTATCTCCCAAGAAAATCCCCTTGAGAATGATTTGAGTTTTAAAATTGAAATAAATTTAGAAATATATTCAACTGAAAATAGAAAAAAATTATTATATCTTGAGAAGCAGAGAATGTATGAAGTTTTTCTTTTTTATGTTAAATTTGGATATTTTAAAATGTTGAAGTGTTAAAGAATTATTAAGTGCACATTAGAATAACTATTTGAGGAAAATATTACTTAATTTAATAATTGCCATATTTTTAATCCTTTAATATTTTTAATGTTTTAGATACTTTAATATACAAGTTTTAAGGCTTCGTGATCCTAGTCTTTATTCTCATATTGAAATTATTAGATTTAACAGATTAGTTAACATTATGCTGCAGCAGAATAGAAGCCTGAGTTTTACTGTTGAAATAGTTCCACTTGAGATGATTTCCTAAGGCAGTTTTGTTTTGTTTTATTTTGTTTTGAGATAGAGTCTCCTATGTCACCCTGGGTAGAGTGCTGTGGTATCAGAGCTCACAGCAACCTCAAATTCTTGGGCTTAAGCAACTCTCCTGCCTCAGCCTCCCAAGTAACTGGGACTATAGGAGCCCACCACAATGCCTGGCTATTTTTTGGTTGCAGTTGTCGTTGTTGGGCAGGCCCAGGCTGGATTTGAACCCACCAGCGCCAGTGTATGTGGCTGGTGCCCTAGCTGATGAGCTACAGGCACCAAGCCCTGAGGTAGTTTTTAAAATTGCCTTCAGAGGCTACATTATTCTTTAAATAATCTCAGTTATGGCAAATATTTCTTTCTTTTTTTTTGGCTGGGGCTGGGTTTGACCTTGCCACCTCTGGCATATGGGGCCAGCGCCCTACCCTTTTGAGCCACAGGTGCCGCCCCCAAAATTAATTCTTAATGATAGGTATAATTTTTGGAATTAGCCAGTCTGAAGAAAAGTAACTTGATCTAAAACTTGAAAACTTGAATATTATTTATTTCATTATGAACTGATTAAATTTTATTTCCTTGAATATCTTATAATTTATATCTGAGAGCAATCCCAAAGCAAAAAAGTCACAAAAATGTTTTGAAATATGGCAAGAATTTTGGACTATGTCCTTGACCCTGTAAGGGCTGCACTCATTTATGCATAGACCTTGTGCCTTTGCTTTGGTGCCTTCAGTGATTCAGCACTATTACTACTGTTAGGTTTACTTCTTGTGACTTCGTTCTGTATCAGTAATGCCTCTTTTGTTGTTGTTAAAGCTTCCTGTGACTGCTTTTTGAATGAGTACTGCCTCATATATTTTGTTGAACAAACTTTATTTTTCAATTCTGTTAGGGATGTTTGTATTCATCAGGACAAGAGGATTCATCTCACAGTGGTGTATTTTGGTAAAGAAGGACTGTCTAAAGTCAAGTCTATCCTAGAATCTGTCACAAGGTTGGTGAGCCATGTCCATAGTGAAGTCTCTGTATATATGACATTACTAAAAGAGTGAGAATTTCAGATATTTAATGAGTTAGTAATTTTGAATAACTGCTGTTTAAAAGTTGGCTGAGTGTGTGGGTAGTGGTGATGATAATAAGTTCCTCATTTTACATGCAATCCTACATGACTCAACTTCCCTTCCCCTGCTTAGCAGGCATCCTGGCATGATCAGAACCCTTTCCCTTTGTGGCTCACTCACCATCTATGTATTTTCTTTTCTCTTTTTCTAAATCAGATCCTTTCACTTTGATATCAACATCTCCTAAACTTGTCTCTTACTTGCCACCTTTCTTTCCTTCCATTTCCTCAGGTTCCTTCACCCCCTATAAACAATGCTTAAGTCTTCTGTATCCTTAAGAAACCTCCTGATTTTGTAGTACTCATTAGCTGCTGTTATGTTTCTGTCCTTTCACAGGTAAACCTCACAGAAGAGTAGTTATGTAATTAAGCAACCCAGATAGTACCTGGCAGCTTGTAGGTGCTCAGAGGTTTGAATGAATGAATTAGTAATTCCCTAATAACTTAATTATTAATTCTTTAGTTTCTCAGCCTTTTTCTCTCAAAGAGATGGGCCCAAAAGTATAGCCTAACTGCCAAATTCACCTTTTTCTCTGTTATCTTATTTAATTGCTTTTTTACATTGATAACCTAACCAGTACTTCTGTCTTAAAATGCTATGTTTGTAAATATTTTTAAATGCTATGTTTGTAAATATTTTTAAATGTAAATATGATGTAATATAAACTGTTAGGTTAATTGTCTTCTCTAATCACACCAACTTTTTGTCCTTAATTGCTTCTTTACATTTCTAGTAGTTGTAGCCATTCCTTAAGAGTCCAGATTTGATCAGTAATTCTTCTCAAATTGCTCGACTAACATTTATTGAGTCCTACCGGCTGTGTTCTAGGTACACTGCTTGGGAGTCTGACTAGGGTAGTTGGAAGAAGACTGGGCATAGTTGAGTGGTCTCAGTCCCTCCCCTGTAGGGATCCTCACAGCCCTGAGGTGTATAAACAGGACTCACCTCTTCCTCTTCCCTATACCAGCTCCTCCTTCTAACAGCCTCTTTTAGTTCAGAGTAAGACCATTTTCATGATCCCCTCTACTTGAAATTAGAAAGTGAGAGTCTTTTACTTCTCCTTTACCTTGTATTAGTTTTAATTAGTCATTTCCTACTTACTTCACAGGATCTTTTCTCTGTCCCTTCCTTGCTACTGCCACTACCCTAACCTTGGTTCCCTCTCCCTCCATTTCCCCTCCTCCTTTCCTCCTCACTGTTTTTAGATCACCTACTAATTGCCAAGTGCCCATACTAGTATTACCAAAGTTGTCTCTGTATTGTCAAGACTCCTCTGTGGCGAATGGTATAAACCTGCCTTGAGCGTGCTTAAGGAAATAGGAGCAGTATTGAAGAATCTTGGATACCTCCCAGCAATAAAGGGATTGTTACAGCCAAAGTTGGAAAAGAAAATCAAAACAATCTTGGCATCTCAGGGACTGGAACCAGAGATTTGAATACCATCAACATTCTCTTGTCTCCTTGTCTGTTTTTCTCTGCATGTTGACTTCATTCTCCTATTGCAGATTGGCTTCTTCCAATGGTGAGGGATATGACTGTTGGCGGCTCTGGGCTCACAACTTCTCAGCTTTGCCATCAGAGAGGAAAGAGCTTTCTCCCAGCTGCAGTTGAGCAAATCCCAGGGAAGGACATTTTGCCCACTCTTGAGCCAATCACTGTGGCCAGATTGGGTGGGAGGTATTGGGATTGGCCTAGTTTAAGAATGGTCCCCACCCCTAGGAAATTACTATGGTTGGGGTGGGTAGAAAGTGAGAGGTATTCTGTGATTAGTGCCTCCACTTGGTGCTGGGGATGTGAAGTGGTAATGGGCAGTTTCCTCAAAATAAGGGAGACATTTATATCCCATGAGATGGGGAGGAGAGTCCTAGGTACTCAGAGCACTTGAAGTCTACTTTATGTACTATTTGAATCTTTGCTTCCATCTCTCCATTAACTGTTCTGTACTATTGCAAGAGTAATCTTCCTTAAAAAATATTTTTTTTTTGGCTGTACCCTAGTGCAGTGTGAGTGGTTCTCCAACCTCATTGTCAAAGTTACCTGGAGGACTTAACAAAAATTTAAATGCTCAGCTCCAGCCCCAGCATCAGATTCAATGGATCTGAGGTGGAGCCTGAGAATTTCAATCTCTAACATGTTGTTAGGGGAAGCTGTGGGTTTGAGAACCACTGCCCTAGCAGACCGTCCTTGCCAAGCAGACCGTCCTTGCCTTTAGGAGACTGACCCAGTTTAACCTTGCATGGAAGGTATTCCTCAGTCTGATAACTTCTCTCATTGTTCCCATTTTAGGATCCTTTTGTTCTAATCTGATTTTTCTGATCTGTGTTCTCTAAAATGCTTTCTACATTCTTACCTCTTTGCCTTTGGGAATAATTATTTAGAATGACCACTCACCACTGAATTCAGCATTTTAACCATTGCATAATTCAAGTTCCACTTCTAACATCTTCTCTAACTCCTCCTGACACGATCTCTTTTCTCAGAACTGCTATTCATTCATTCAGCTAATACACATATTTATTGAACTCTTACTCTGTGAGGGGTACTATGTCCCTATTAATGAACAAAACAAAATCCCTTCATGGAGTTGGGGAGACACTTGAACAAATGTATCTGGTAGAACATGAACTAAGGAAAACAGCCAAGGAAGAGGATAAAGATTAAAAAGGGAAATCACAGCTACTTCACATGTGGTATCAGGAAGGATTCCTCTGATAAGGGCACATTTGTTCAGAAACCCAAATGATGTGAGAGAAGAGTACTGTTTGTGTGTGTCATTCATTTAGATGCATTATTTCTTATCCAACATGGCTGTTTTTCCATGTGTGTATTTTTTATTGTTCCAATAGTTTTTAAGATCCCAAAGGGCAGTGGCCACATCCTATCGCTTTTGAACCACAGACTTATCAGCATGCTGCCTTCTGTGGGCATGCCGTGAATATCTGTCCCTAATGATCACACTCATGAAGCTGATGATGGTCTTTCTCTGTGTGAATATAGAACCAACATAATAAAATATTTGAAGTGTAAAACATACTTTGTAAATTGTGTTGAAGGAAGAGAGTTAATTTTAAGTGGGACTTATCATTTGTTGTATGTGCTTTCCTCATAGTGAGTCTAATTTTCACAATTACACCTTGGTCTCATTGAATGAAGAATTTAATCGTGGACGAGGACTAAATGTGGGTGCCCGAGCTTGGGACAAGGGAGAGGTCTTGATGTTTTTCTGTGATGTTGATATATATTTCTCAGCCGAATTCCTTAACAGCTGCCGGTTGAATGCTGAGCCAGGTGCGTAAAATTTTGGTAGATGAGCTGAGTATAGAATTTAGAACAGTGTCAGCATGTCCTATATTTTGAATCATTTAATTTGAAGGAAAAGAAATTTTAATGAAACCTTAGTTCTCTCCTAACTTATATTAGGTATAATTTAACTGGAATATTAAATAGAAAATTGAAAATTTGACCCTCTGAAGTTGATATCCTTTGTTCTCTTGGGGCCAAATTCCAGTGAAGCAGATAAAGAATCATAAAGGAATAGGAAATCCAGAAAGTGATTAGAAGGAAGCAGGTCAGAAAAAAAAGAGCCAAGCAGATGTAATGGAGATGTGTGAGAGACAGAAGTACTCAGCCTTAGGCTTATAGTGCCCACACACAAGCATATGCATGTACACACATTTTCATATAGAAGTCTAGATACAAATACTGCTTGGTCTTCAGACTGTGCATTTTGGAATGATCTACTATATTTTGCTTTATGTTGTTCATATTTTTTGTAAATGAATGAGCAAATGATATTTTTATAAATCAAATTTTATTTTAAATATAAAAAGGAAGTTTTCTGTTATTAATGAGTCTTAGCAGGATGAATAATGAATCAACTTTAGGAAATCTGTACAATATGGTGACTATAGTTAATAACTATGTATAACTTAGAAATTGCTAAGAGAGTAGATTTTAAATGTTCTTACTATAAAATAAGTATGAGAGGTGATGGATATGTTTATTAGCTTGGTCTAGTCATTTCATAATGCATATTATGAAATATTAAATATGACATTAAAACATGTCATATACCATAAGTATATATAATTTTTGTCAACAAAAAATATATTTTAAAAAAACAGTAAATTTTTTTATGTAGAATTATTATTCATATCATATGCATAATTGCCTTCATAATAATCAGTTTGCTTAGGGATAGATGTCAGGAACTGAAACTCTCTGAGAGCCTAATGAATAAATAAGTGTTAGGCTTATTTTTGCTACTCTGTAGACAGCATGAAATTAAAGTTGAAGTTGAAGGAGAGATATTTACTTAGTGTAAAAGAAGTATTTTACATACAGAAATAGATTTTTAGGAAATTGAGCTGCACATCCCTAAATGGATTTGAATGAAAGTAGAATGAATGTCAGCTAGGGATCTTGTAATAAAAAACCTGCCATGTTACTCCCATACTCCCTGGCAATTACTGAGTACTTCATGTGATCCTGCCTGATTGAAGCCAATCACAGCAAGGATTTTTTTTGTTGAGGGGAGGTTGACTAGTTAGCCCTTAAGGTCCCTTGAGTGCAGTTTGATTGCTAAAGGTAAGATCTTCTGCTAGGGATATTATATCAAGTATTTTTTAACTCTTTTTTTTTTTGTGAAGCAGGCCGGGGCAGGTTAGAACCCACCACCCTTGGTGCACAGGGCCTGTATCCTAACCACTGAGCTACAGGCTCCTAGCATTTTTTAACTTTTGTCTTCTCAACTTTCCAGATCTTTGTTCAAATCTGGTGTGTATGTATGTATCTTTGTATGTGTATAGTTGTTGTTGTTGTTTTGGTTTGGTTTGGTTTGGTTTTTTTATAGAGACAGTGTCTCACTTTGTTGCCCAGGCTGGAGTGCAGTGGCATAATCATAGCTAACTATAGCCTCAAACTCCTGGGCTCAAGCAGTCCTCCTGCCTCATTGTCCCCAAGTACCTGAAGCCACAGGTGTGCACTACCATACCCAGATAATTTTAGAAAGATATCTCACTATATTACCCAGACTAGTCTTGAACTCCTGGTCTTAAGCAATCCTCCCATCTTGGCCTCCCAAAATGCGAGGATTACAGGTGTGAGCTACTATACCTGGCCTTATTTTAATTATTCTCCATGTTTCTGTTTATTGTACTGTATTCTTTGGATTTTGAAGGATAAATTTAACAAGTTTCTAAGTTTCTTGGTGATTGTCAGAAGTTAATCTATATTATTGCTGATTAGATGAAATAATGAGTGCTGAATGGCTCATTTAATGAATAGCTGAGAGAATACCTTTGTGTATCTCTCCAAAGTCAAAGGGAATAAATATGTGAAGCACCCTTTAGTCTATTTTTTCTCTATTCTTTTGTAAGTTTGTTTCATTCATCATAAATATTGATGAAATAAAATCATCCTATGTGATAATGAAGTCTTAATAGATATTACTGTAAAGAGCAATCTTTTATAACTTCTTTGTGTGATACAAACATGTATTTTTTTATAGGTAAGAAGGTGTTTTACCCTGTGGTGTTCAGTCTTTACAATCCTGCCATTGTTTATGCCAACCAGGATATGCCACCACCTGTGGAGCAGCAACTGGTAAGACTTTTACATTGTCAGTTATGGAAGCCTCTAAGGATCTTTCCTAAATTTTTTTATGGGTATTTTTTTTTTTTTTTGAGACAGAGTCTCACTTTGTCACCCCCTGGTAGAGTGCCTTGCTGTCACAGCTCACAACAACCTCAGACTCCTGGGCTCAAACTATTCTCTTGCCTCAGCCTCCATAGTAGCTGGAATTATGAGTGCCCGCCATAACACCCAGCTATTTTTAGAGGTGGGGTCTTGCACTAGCTCAGGCTGGTGGTGAGCTCAGGCTATCTGCCCACTTTGGTCTCCCAGAGTGCTGGGATTACAGGCATGAGCCACCTCACCTGACCCAAAATTTTTTTATGTTTATTGTACAAGTGTACAAGTAAAAACAGAGTTTCAATAAAAACTATAGTTATTATAAACACTTCTCCATAGTTTATTTTCACACCCTCAATAAAATACTTTCACACTTACGGCTTCAGAATTAAGTTGGGGGTGAGGGGACTGGAGTTTAAATCATAAAGAAAAATCTCATGTTCCAGAATGTGGAAATTGTACAGTCATTTCTGTCAATTTATCTTTAGTAATACTGAAAATAAAATTTAATTTAAAACTGTTTTTAAAAACTTACAGAAACTATTCTGTAAGAATAAATTATCTTATTGTAAAATAAGAGAATATTATACTATGAAAAATTACTTAGAAAGTCATGGAATATAAATGCCGTGTATCAAAATTTATAGTTATCATCAAATCTATACTTACATAAGCTTTTAAAAATTTATAAATAAAATTATTGTTTTGGAATAATTTAGATTTGGAGTTTTTTTGTATTTTCTTTTCTGACATAGACTCACTCAGTCACCCTGGGTAGAGTACCGTGGCCTCATAGCGCACAGCAACCTCAAACTCTTGGGCTTAAGCAATCCTTTTGTCTCAACCTCCTAAGTAGCTGGGACTACAGGCACCTGCCACAACGTCTGGTTAGTTTTTCTATTTGGAATAATTTAGAATTGTAAAAAAGTTGCAAAAAGATAGTTCAAAGAGTTCCCACATTTCACCCAGTTACCCTTAATGCTAATATCTTATATAACCTTGGTATATTTGTCAAAATTAAAGAAATTAGGCAGGGTGCAGTGGCTCAGGCCTGTAATCCTAGCACTCTGGGATACTGAGGTGGGAGGATTGTTTGAGTTTATGAGTTTGAGTCCAGTCCCAGCAAGAGTGAGACCCTCTACTAAAATAGAAAAATTAGTCAGGCATTGTAGTGGCACCTGTAGTCCCAGCTACTTAGGAGACTGAGGCAAGAGAATCACTTGAGCCCAGGAGTTTAAGGTTGCTGTGAGCTATCACGCCACAGCTCTCTACCAAGGGTGATGGAGTGAGACTCAGTCTCAAAAAAAAAAAAAAAAAAATTAAAGAAACTAATATTGTTAAGTTACTCCTAACTATACTATAGACTTACTAGCTTTTCCCCAGTTTTTCTACTGATATTCTTTTTCTGTTTCAAGATCCAATCCAGGATACCAAATTACATTTAGCATAATCTTTTATTGTAAGCATTAAGAAAAACTAAAAATGAGCTAAGAAGTCAATTTAATATATTTTAAAAAATGAAAAATAACTCCAAGGAAATCAGTTGGAAAGAAAGATAAAGGTAGAAATTAATGAAACGAAAATAGGTTGACAAGTATAGGAGCTTATATGCAAAAACCTTGTTTTTAATAAAGTGGGCAGATTCAGGGTAACTTACGATATTTCCATAAAACACTGGAAATGAGAATATAAAAACATAGAGAGGGTGACTCGTCCTGTGGCTCAGTGGGTAGGGTGCCGGCCCTATATACCAAGGGTGGCAGGTTCAAACCCAGCTCCGGCCAGACTACAACAAAAAAAATAGCCATGCATTGTGGCAGGCGCCTGTAGTGCCAGCTACTCGGGAGGCTAAGGCAAGAGAATCACCTAAGCCTAGGAGTTGGAGGTTGCTGTGAACTGTGTGATGCCATGGCACTCTATTGAGGGTAATAAAGCGAGACTCTGTCTCTACCAAAAAAAAAAAGTTGAGAGAAATCAATTTTATATGGTAAGTTTAAAAAATTCTAAATAAAAAGATTTGAGACTTTATAAAATAGTAACGCAAGTTAAATTTATGTTAGTAATTTATAAATAAAAGGGATGGAAGCTTAGAAAAAATTAGGAGTGTTTAAAAAAATTAGACTAGTTATTAAAAATTACCTTGTAGAGGCCAAGTGAGGTGGCTTACTCCTGTAGTCCTTGCGCTCTGGAATCCCAAGGTGGGTGGATTGCTCGAGGTCAGGAGTTTGAGACCAGCCTGAGCAAGAACAAGACCAAATCTGTACTAAAAATAGAAAAATTAGCCAGGCATTGTGGCAGATGTGTGTGGTCCCACCTACTAGGGAAGCTGAGGTGGGAGTATTGCTTGAGTCCAAGAGTTTGAGGTTGCTGTGAGCTAGGCCATTGTCTGGGCACTCTAGCCT